TTCTCTACTTAAACCCATCTTTGGGTTTCAGCTGGTAGGACCACATGGGAAACCTTCACTTCACCAAAGAAAAGTGTCTCCACCCTGACTTTTTGTTTGTTTATTGTAGAGTACAAGATCCTGTTGATCCTTCTCTTATTTTTCCATCTTTAATAGCTATCATCTGCGCAACAGAAGTAGTTCCCTTTCCTCTTTGCTGTGGGAGTTGCCGGCGTCTGGGAGGGTTCCTGATGGCCATTCTTGGCAGGTGGGGCTGTGTGGCTCGGGTGGTGACCCCATCTGATGGCGCAGTGTCCATCCTGTTCCAGCTGGTGAGAGCCGACCTAGACCCCTGCTTCTCAGAGCAGTTCAGAGGCACGTGCTTTAATGTAAAAAGCTCTCCATTTTACTTACTGAGAAAAAGACAAAGGGAAATGAAGAGGAAGGAAAGAGAAGGGAAATATGGAATTTCTAGATTAGATATAAGACATCTTGTTACATGTGAATAGCAGGTAAAAATGAAAATACTTTACTAAACATATAGCCCAGCTATACATATGATGTGTCGTGCAGCTGGAAATTTAATTTGCTGGTAATCGGAGTCGAACTAGTGGACTGTAACCAGAGCTGGCCTGGAGCTCCCTGGTGGTCTGAGGGATTGTGGTTTCTCGTGGTAACAGTGGTCTGCTGGTGACCCGTGTTGGAGATGGCCAGGTCTAGCCTGCGTGTGAGGAGTGCTGTTTTGTCACAGCAGTAATTCCTATCATTTTGGTTACGCTGAACTGAAATACATAGGTAATACCATCTATCTACCTGTAGTATTTTAAAAATTCAATGAAGGACCCTAATGATTAAAAAAACATAAAAAGAAAATGATTTCGATATGCTATCACTTTAGCAGCAGTATGACAGTGACTGTGTGCTGGACACTGGGGACTTGTGTGGTGCATGCAGCTACAGCATCCCTGGACCCCAGATGGGCCAGCTCACACTCTCTCAGGCCTTATGATAACTGACTTCACAACATGAACATTTTCAAAACATTTTCTAGGGGGTACAGTTCCCAGCAGACGAGACCAGAGAATGAAAGGACCAGTTATATGAGGGAAAGGCCGAACAAGGCCCTTGAGGTCACTCTCGACTAGGGAGCAGGGCTGCGGCCCCAACTGGAAGAAGAGCAAAAGAAAGCATGGCCATCCCAGTGGACAGGGCACCCGGGAGCGGGAGTTTATTTGGAGTAAATGAGCCCGAATCGCTTCAGATTTCTGCAGGAGATCTAGGGCTTGGAGGTTGCAGAACCCACAGGGCTGGGATCAGAGGTGTGAGTTGAATGAAGAACTTTCAGAATTAGCAGCGTGTCATCTCCTTGTGACAGACACCAGTGTGGGACCAGAGAAGATCACTCAGAGGGCGGTTGTAGAGAAAGAGGTGACAGGGTCCAAAGACACAGTCCTGGGGAACAACGCCTTTCAGGGAGGGGTGAAGGTGTTTTCAGGAGAGAAGAGAGAGTAGAATAATGGAAGGCGTGAGGGAGAAGTACATAGTGGCACACACCTGGAGTCCCAGCACTCTGGGAGGCTGAGGCAGGAGCACTGCAAAAGCTCAGCCTGGGAAACAGCAACTTAATGAGACTCTGTATCAAAATAGGAGTGTAGTTCAGTTTCAGGCCCTAGTAACAAGAAGGAAGGAAGGAAGGAACGCAGGAAGGAAGGAAAGAAAGAAGGAAGAAAGAAGGCAGGCAGGTGGGCAAAGGAAGGGAAGAAGAGAGGAGGGAGAAGAGAGGCAAGTGGGGTGGCTTTGTGGAGAGGACAGTTTCTCTAGGAATGCCAAACAACAGAGCTGAGCACAGGACCCCTGGGGACATGAGTGACTGCAGACCTGTACAGCACTAGGGGTCAAAGTCCATTAGAGCTGGTGGGACAGTTCAGACCAGGCAAGGAAGCCACTCTTCAGGGCGATGCTACGAAAGGGTGTGGAGCAGTGGTGGCCAGCCTGTTAGAGCTTTCAGCGATACAAAATGCTGTGGCACTTGTGCCATAGGTTTGCCCTGCTGGCATAGACCCTACTCATCTTTTAGGGTGTTCCTTAAGTGAGGATTCTGAGCTTTTCCTTACCTTCTGTATTCCTTAGGGTGCTTTTTCTAGTGAGTAACAGAAAACTGAATGCAAGGTAGTATAAAAAATAAAACCCAATGGTGGATCTACAAATTTCATCAAACTATAATGTGGTGGGTTAACAACTGGTGGTCAGCTTGTAACGAGTTGAACTGAGTCAGCGTGGTTCTGGGTGTGGAGGGCTCACTTGAGGATTGTTGCCAACATAAAAAGGAGAACTGGAGAAGAAGTCCGGTTGCTGTTGGTTCTCCTAGAGAAATTTGCTGAGCCTCTTTTCTGATAACTTGGCTCTTCTTATCACCAGAGGAGCTTAGAATCTTGTTCCCCTTTTTGGGGAGCTTTGGTTCTTACTTTGAGGTTGCTTCCTGATGTCCATGCAGATCCCTCAGCCTGCTGGCACAGATTCTTTAGCCCACTGGCACAGACATTTTAGCATCTACTACTGACCTTTGGGCCTTCCTACTGCAGATTCATGAAACAGACTTTCATGAGTCATTGTTGTGGGCTCTAGGCCTCTAGCTGGATCCGTGAGTGGCATTGTCCTGAACCCTAGGTTTTCATCTGGACTTATGCAGGATATTGCCAGCCCTCAGCTGGATTTTGGGGGGTGCTTAGTGTGTGGACAGATTTCCTACATGTTTTGTATTTGACTCTCTGGGTGACTTATGAAATAATTCTGTAGATTATCTGTCCTGTATTAAATTGTTTTCCTTGTAAACCTTGTTTTCCTTGACTGCAACTTACAGTGACTGGTTACATTTTTTAAAAGTTTGTTACAAGAAAGGACACACTGCCATTGGTCCTCTCCTAAGCCTCTCCCTCCCGTGAAGCACACTGACCCTATCACCCTTGCCACTTCCTGAAGAGGTGCCGGAAGTCTTTTTTCTACCTTTATGAGCTGCGATAAGTTTGGTGAGGGCCACTGTCCCATCCATGGAGGAGCAGGCTCCTATAAACACAACAGTGTGTCCACATCTGCTGTGCTCATCACATCTGGCACTGCTGGGCTTCTGGTTCTCTACGCACCCACTCACACATGAAGACTCATATGCATTTTAAAATATGAAGTCTATGTGGAAAAGAGGAGAATGGTGTATGTGTGGTGAGGGCTGGTGGTGGTGGTGCTTGGGGGTGGCTGAGGTCTGTGTACTGTGGTCAGGGAAGGCTTCGTGGAGTGAATCAGCAGCAGGAAGCCCAATCATGAGGGCCCACACCAAAGCTTGGTGCCTGCAAGACTTCCGGTCAAAGAGTGAATGATCCAGGTCATGGTACATGAGAAACTCTTCACTGTGTGTGGAAATGAGACCAGGAGGGTACCAGTGGCATCTGGGACCCCACTAAGAGGCTCCAAGACTAGAGAAGAGGTGATGGGGGCTGGGCCAGGCTATAGGCAGAGGGGTAATGAGCTGAGTGGGATTCAGGAAAGAGTTTGAACTCAGGGCCAACACGATTACACAAGGGAGCAGATTCAGAGAGCTGAAGAAGGATCAGTTGTAACTCTAGAAGTTTCAGCCTCAGCCATGATTTGCTAAGCGGAAGGCAGTTGGTAGTTTTGGGACATGTAGCATTTTAGAAGTTTGTCATGCATTCAGTATCCACAGGTTATCTCTCTTTCTAGTAAACAGAGGGTTCTGGGACCTCTGCTTGGGAGAGACATCTAAAGAAGTGATAACTATTCCAAACATACAGATACTAAACTGTGAGGTTGGATGGATTGTCAAGGAAGCAAGGGTTGGTGGAGAAGAAGAGGCTGATCTGTGGCGCCTCAAACACCAAGAGATCTGGGATAAGAGAGAAGCCAGCAAGGAGACAGTGAAGATGGAGATGCATGATAGAAAGCAAAGAGGGAGGCGGTGGGTCTGCAGAGAGACAAGCGTCCCAGACTCTCCTTGGACTGGATCGGCTTAGACCCACCCCTGTACCCCATGGGAAATAATAAACATCTGCTTATTTCTGTTGTTAAGATCATCACTGAAAGGGGTCTGGATGGTGTTGAGTGGGCTACGTTTATGAAGACTCACTCTTGGAACTGGATGGGGTCAGTTCCTAACTATCACGTAGTCTTAAAGGCACTGACCTTCTGCTGTTGTCAACTTCCAGACCCTTTTTTCATGCTGATAATTTCATGCTTTTTACAGGGTTGTGCCAATGGCCATCTTTCACTGGTTTTTTTCTTAGATTGTTTGCTCTTGGAAAGGAGCCACATGTTTGTCTTTGAGCCCCAGGTTCTCCCCCAGTGCATATTTGTTAAAATGAGCAAAACATGAACAGAGGAAATGTGCAGAATTCTGATTTCTAAGGGATCCCCTGGTGACCTGAAGCCTTAAGGTTAAAGGGAAAAGACTAAAGGCCTTAGCATAGTTTCTGACCTGTTCGGAATACAGCATGGGGCACTTTCATGTGCTTAAATTGCTGTATAAAGCTATTTCTTAATAATTGTGACTGCAAGACAATCTGGTCCTGAATAACTTTGAGAGAGAGAAATCTAGAAAAACTTTCTGGTTATTTGCATGTATTCACACACATGCATGTCATGGTTGAGTGTTCATGAAAATACCTACCTAACCTATAAAAACGTACAAATACTTGTATATTATATGAGCTGAATGTTTGTATCCCTCCACTTGTACGTTGAAAACATGGCCCCCAGAGTGATGGTGTCTGGAGGTGGGGCTTTAGGAGGTAATTAGGGTTCCAAAAGGTCGTGAGGGTGAATTCGTGATGAGATCAGTGCCCGTCAGCAGCCAAGAGGAAGGCTGGAAGGATGCAGGGGAAGCTGGCCTCACCAATGCCCACCATGTTTGCACCTCAAGCCTGGACTTCTGGCTTCTAGAGCTGTGAGGAATAAATGTTTGTTGTTTAAGGTACCCAACCTCTGGTATCCCATCATAGTAGCCTGAACAAGTCGAGATGGTCTGTGCCGTTTATTAGTGCTGATAAAATTCTAGTGGTCGCGTAGACAGCAGAACAAGGTATTGCTCACAAGGAAAACAAAAGCCTCCAGAGAAAATGGAACACATTTTTTCCAAACATTGGTTTGAACAGAAAAAAATAGGCTGTTGCTGTGGAAGGGCTCCTCTCTGGGCAGTGATGACCTTTTGCTGGATGTGGTTGTACCACAGCACTTAGAATCTAGGTAGTGAACTGTATTATTATAGGATTCTATTTAACTCCATCCTTGGCCACGAGTAAAGCAGCCTCAGCTTCTTGGAAGAGAAGAAAAAATACTAATTATTTTTCTGTCTAGTATTTATAGGGGCAAACATGGTGAAATGTGAACAGGAAAACCAGAAATGTAATAAATAATAAAGTACACTCTACCAAACAATCTATTGTTTATGCAATCTATTGTTGACTTTCTACTTTTTGGGATGATTTTCCATTGTGAATTCCTTCCATGGACATATTAGGAATACCAATATTTCCACATAGATATTTCTGAAAATGTAAATACTAATATAAATTATTTAAATTACAAAAAAATCCAAGGATTTATTTGTTTGTTTTAGAAAATGGAGGACACTGAAATATTGTTTTGAATAACTGAAGTTATTTGACAACACATTGTTGATGCTTGCAAATAAATGTTCAGCATTATAATTTCCCTTTTAAGGGCAAATCATTCAGTTCTTATTAAAAAGCAGTGGTTATGGGAGTGAAGATATAAAGAAACACCCATCTCTTGCTGTGAAAACTCTTGAGTCCAACCTTGCAGAGTACTTGACACTTGTCGGTTATTAATTCACTCTGCATCAATTTTGGTAGGCTCGCTATGCAGTGCAATGAAAAAGAGACAGCATCTGAAAAACTAGATAATGCAATGAGTAAGACATTTGGTAAATAAAAGCAATTAAAAATGAAAAACAGCACACATGTGAAAAGACAGATAATAGGCCGGGTAAGACATTCAGTACATACGACCCAATAACGATGCGAACCTCAGGTGGAACCAGCGGTTCTGTACCACTTCATTGCTTTCTCTCTCTAGGAAAGGTCTGTCTAGAGTTATCGTAGTGGGATAAATGTCAAGGTCACAAACCAGTTGCCTTGACATGTGCTCTGGTTTAGAGAGAGGCTACAAATACAATAAATATACACATTCTTCAAGGAACAAGTGATGCAGTAAAGGTGACCCTGTCTTCCCCTCCACTCCCTCCCCTGTTTTCTAGGTGACCCTGTGAAGAAGAGGTTTGGTGAGAGTGCGAGGCAGATGCACCTAAAGGACAGGTGATGGGAGACGACGGAGGAGGCAGTCATTGTCCTGGGACCAGAAAGTCCTTTGGTGCTGGGACGGAGGGTGGATTTTTTCTTGCTATTTTCTCTATTCCTTTGCAGAGCTCTCAGATCTCTTCCTTTTGTCCTTGAAAATGGCATTCAGCGATTCTATGTGTCTCCACCTGAGAAAGCCAGAGCAATATCCTGTTAATCCTCTGAGCAGTATCAGCACCTCGACAATGCCCAGCACATGGCTCATGACCGCACAGGTCCGCGAACGAGGACTTCACAGAGGGCCGTGCAAGTCACCCCATTAAAGGAGTCTTCCAGTCTGCGGTCACCCAAACTTCTGCCCAGCGGCTGGGCGACATTATTGCCATCCTTGGGGGACAAGGGTCACTTTGGAGGTGATTGTTGCCTTCTTCTACCTCCAGGGAGCAACTTTTCTTCCTAAGGATTCTTATTCCCAGCAAGCTAAGGTGACCTGGAAATTTGAGAGCGCCCGAGTTACAAACTGTACTTTCTCAAGAGAGAAATATTACCTTATAGAAACCAGCTTTCTTCCTGCTGCGCAGCTCTTCCGTGTGGAACAGATTGTCTCTCATTAGAGCTGGAGGAGCTGGGGGAGACAAGCAGGGCTATCTTCCGCTCACCAAAGAGACAGCTGGAATCGTGGATGACCCTGAAAAGAAACTGCCACTTCCCTTGGGGGGAGGTGGGAAAGACAGATGCCAGCATAAGCCAGTACGTCCCGCGCAGAAGGAGCTGAAATACTCTCTAACACATTTGGAGGGACACGTTCCCTAGGTTTGAACTCCTAGTGATGGCAGAGTTTTTGGCGAACTTCCTAGAGCATTATTAGGCATTAAAAATGTCCTCCGAATTCATGCAGTCCCTTAAGAACAAAACATTGTTATGAGGATTTTAGTATTTAAACTTCAGGGGTCCAAAGCCTTTATTTGCTATTTCTCAATGAAAACAAACCTTTATCATGTAGAACAGGGTAGAGAGGATTGGGAATTAATTTTGAAACAAAACAAAACAAAACAAAACAAAACAAATTATTTAATCAATTGACTGAAAAATACTCATCGAGTGCTTGTGTGCCAAGAGTTACAGCGTGATGTTGGGGCACGGAGGTGACGCTGCAGGGCCCATCCCTGCCCTCATGGCAGCACTCTACATACAGGACAGCGGACAGTGGGTGGACGTGGACAGCAAGTGGACAACTCAGCGTGCACAGTGTGAGCTCAGAGTGCACAGAGCGCAGGACTGTCTTGTGGGGTAAACACAGGGTGCACTGGGAGGAGGGGGAACCTTAGCCATGCTCATGGCTCCTGCACTGGGGATGTAGCTCCACAGGGGAGCGGTTGCCTTGCAAGTTCAATCTGCAGCACTGGGGGAAGTGTTGAGAAGTGCTCAGGATTCCTTCTTTCTCACTAAACCACCCCTTGGCTCCTTCTTCTCAGGGAGCACCTGCCTCTCTTTCTAAACACTTTACAGAGGATGTGTTGTATTCTAAAAGGTTACATGTTTTCTCAGATATTTTTCTTCTCACAACATATTCTCATCTACATTTGCTCTGTGACATGTACCATTTTCACATGCTAAGCTCATAGTCCCAAACATCTGTCTAGTTGGAATTATAAGACCTTGATTTCTAAAGAATAATGCTTGTATTAAGAAACTTGGATAATGTCCCATGCTATCAAAACTATGTGCAGATACATGCATTTTCCTCAAGCTGAAAGACTGTGCTAATAGTTTGAAAGGTTTACTTACAAATCTTAATTACAGATATTTTCAAATGTACACCACAGTAGAGGGGAGAGTCCACTGGTTCCAATGCAGCAATCTTTAAGCTACAATAATCTTCACAAAAATTTTGACAATTTTAATAAAGCTCTCCCCATCAAATACAGCAGCTTTTTATTTTCTTTTAAATTCTAGACTATGTACAAATACATTTCCAGACATCAGATACCACACATGCCTCAGTGTGCATTATCTAACAGATAAGGTTACTTGAAATATAACACGACAATACCACAACATCAAAATTAACAAACAGGCATTAGTATCATGTAACATAGCTGTTCTCTGATTGACCCAAAAATATGACTTATAAGTTTGTTCAACTCAAGGTCCAAAAAGGATCCTATATCATACTTGGTTGTCGTATTTCTTAAATTTTTTTCAATCTGCAATGAGGCCCCCTCTTCTGGTTTTTGCAACCATTTAGTTTTTGAAGAGACTAGATTTGACTTTTATTCCTATACTCTGATTGGCTAATGGCTTCCTGGTGGCATAGTTTAGTTTATTCTTCCTGTATTTCCTATAAACTGATTGGTCTGTAATCTTGATTAGATTTCATTCCCTCCTTCCATGATCCCCTCCCCCCACCTTTTCATTCCCTCTATTCTTCCTGTCAGGAATACTCATAGAGGGGTGCTATGTGCATGGTTCTGTGGTCACAAGATATGTGATGTCTAACTGTCCCATTTCTGGTTATTGCTAAAGTTAATCCAAGGACCCAGGTATTGCCAAACTGATTCGTTTATTGTAAAACTACTTGTCAATTTTTTAACCAATAGCTTTAAGAGTCTTTGACTATCATTACACAGGTCCACTATGAATAAATTTCAGTGAGAGTATTAAATTCATCAATTTTAATTTTAGATCTCAAACCAGTTTGGTACATTTTAAATAGTACTATATTGTTGCTTAAGATTAAATGTTTCATAATTATGAAATGATACATGTTCATTGAAGAACTTGTGAAGTAAAAATTTGAGATAAAAATTACTTGAAATTCTTCCACCAAAACATAATTATTTCTATGGTTTTAATGTGTTTTTAAATCTTTCTTTCACATAGCACATTTGGGCAGAATTGGACCCACAGTATAATTCTTTTTATAACTTCCTTTTTGCTCTATCAGTCTGCTCATGTTAAAAGATTCAGATTGACATTGCTTTTATTGATATGTCTGAATTTTCTTAAGTATATTCCTCAGTGAAATTTAAAGAATTAAAGACACTAAAAACATGTACAAGCTTTTAGTGTACATTTTCAAAATCACAGCTACGTTTTCCTGCCGCAATACATCATGATTATTATGTTTTACAGTTTCGCTAGTTTTACATGGCAAAATATTTTCTACTTTGTAGTGTCTTTGATTAATTATCAGAGACTGAGATTCCTCCTTTATTAGTTATCTGTATTTTTCTTCCTTCCATAACTTTCTGTTCATTTTTTCTCCCATAAGCATGCTTATACTTGTCTTAATAAATTATAATCATGTCATCATTTACTTGTAGCATTTTGGATGTACTTTGCCATTTTTATTTTGTATTTTATTTTGTTTATGACTTTTTGTTTTTGTACAGGGGATAGAATTTATGATCTCGGGGCCAGGGATTTAGCTCAATGGTGTAAACGTCTGCCTGGTAAGCGCAAAGTCATGAGTTTGATCCCCGGAACTCCAGTAAATAAATAAATAAATAATTTATGATCTCAGGCTCTCCAGGCAGGCGCTTAAACAGCTGAGCTAAATCCCCAGCTGTTTGTGACTTTTTTAACATTAAAAAAATTTAATTTTTATGTTGTCGCCTAAAAATGTATTTTTTCCCTTTTTGATTTCTACTATGGCTTTAACATTTCTTTAGTCCTTCCAATCCCAAGAACATTTTACGTATTTACCCTTGTTTTCTTCAACACTTTTGGGTTTTTGTTTTGGTATCGTATGTTCAATTCCTTACCCTATCTTGAATTTTTTTGTTATTATATTGTGATGTTTGCTCTAATTGGATTCTCCTTCCATTTCCCAGATTCCTAACCATTTTCCAAACCCTGTCAGTTGTCTGCACAATCTCCTTTCCCCCAAGTACCCTGAATACACTGATTTCTGATTGGAGACTCCCTTTTCAGACAGTTCCTGCACTAGCACACACTTACATGTAGTGGTGCGTGCTCTAAGGTCCAAAGGACTTGCCATTACTACAGCTGCTTGCTTGCTTGCTTGCTTGCTTTCTTTCTTTCTTTCTTTCTTTCTTTCTTTCTTTCTTTCTTTCTTCTTTCTTTCTTTCTTTCTTTCTTTCTTTCTTTCTTTCTTTCTTTTGTAGGAGTAGAAGATGAGGTTTATTTGAAAATATTTTATCAGTGATTTCAGTACAATACCACAGAGTAGGTTTTTAAGAAATATTTACTGGGCTGGAGATTTAGCTCAGCGGCATAAGTGCCTGCCTGGCATGTGTGAGGTCATGAGTTCAATCCCCAGTACTGCCCCCCCCCCAATTTGCTATTGGTATACAGCTGATGCAGCTAGTACTGTCAGACACACAAGAATTTGAAGTTGCCATCTATAGCCATCCTATCACAATCTATTTTTTTAGGGTAGGAATTGTGGTTAAAATTGTTAATCCTGTACAGTTTCAAAACATACAGCTGCTTTCTTACCTGGAGTGCATTTTCATTCATGGTTCCTACTTTATAACTAGCCCTAGACTCCTAATCTAGTACCTCCCCTTAAATGTGTTAGGATTCATTGATTCATCCACTCATTCAGCAGCGTTTCTCTCAAATCCATGCTGGTTGGGGCACTCTCCTAGGAACTCGGAATCACAGTGAATCACACAATGATCCTTGCTAGTTAATAGTTTGACATTTACAGTAACTCTATTAAGTGCGTGCAACTGTTATTTTCATTCTGCATATGGAGAGGAATTATCTCACTCAAGGTAGTATCCGATAAATCTAAGGCTTAAACTCTGGCGGTGTGATCTAGAAGTGCTTCCTTTTAACCACTTCCTCAAACTCAACATGTCCAAGACAAACTTTTCATTTCTCACCACATGACACCCCCAGAATCTCCCCATTTCATTAAATGATTCTACTATTCTAAACTACTTTTCAGCATCAGAAACTGGGAGTTCTTCATGATTTTCTTTTCCCTCTCTCCATAGTCAGTTATCAACAAGCTCTATCAACTTTATCCTCAAACCTATATCTCTAGGCAATGTTTCTTTCCTTCTCTTCTTTTGCCTTCTATTTTATTTTTTGGCAGTCCTGGGGATTGAATATAGAGCCTCAAGTATGCCAACAACCAAAATCTATCCATCTATCTACCATCTATTTATGTCTAGGACAAGGCATGTGGCTCAGGGGTAGAGGGATTGCCTAGAATTTGTGAGGCTCCACATTAAATGCTCAGCACTGCACATGCAAACACACATGCACAGAATATGTATAGTGTTATACAGGTTATGTGTGGATGACATATATGTGCATATATGCTAACACATATGTAAATCAACCACTTATTACCATTTTTCATGCTCTAGTCTACAAGAAACACTGTCATCTGCTGCTTAGACCGTAATACCTTCTAAAAACTCACCGTTTGTTTCTTCCCCATATACATGATTATAGGAACTTGTAAGGAATAAAAATGCTATCCTGTCACCCTCATGATCAAAGTGCAGCTAAATTATACTGTACAGTCTTATAATAAAGGCCAGATGTTGTGGCACACACCTGTCATACCAGCACCTGGAGACTGAAGCAGAGAGATCTCTGCGAAATCCTGCCTCAACTACATAGACAAAGGGTTCAAGGCCAGCCTCAAAAAAAAAAAAAAAAAAAAAAAAAAAAGAATGAAAAAAAACCCAGAACAAAATAATTACCAAAAAAGAAGAACTGGGTGCAAGCATATAATTCCAGCGCTGTAACTCCAGGCTGAGGCAAGAGGATTGCTGCAAATTTGAGATCTGCCTAGGCTACAGAGTGAGTGAGTTCAAGACCAGCCTGAATTACATTACAGGTCTTGGAAATAAAAGAAGACAAAGAAGGAAGAGGGAAGAGGAAAAAGAGGAAGAAGAACAAACTCCAGTGGCAACTATTCTTTCTTCTGAAATTTACTGTACTTCCACAGTGTACGCTAACACATTTTTAGAAGCATTTCAGCTGTGGACGTGACCCACCTAGTGAAGATCAAAACTGGGTTCTGAAGCTACTTACACCTGGACTCACAGTTCCTATTCTACGGTTCTCAGGTACACTGTACCTGCCATTATTTGGTTTCATTATTTTAACTTTGCAAACATTACTCAGGTCTTCTTTGTGTGCTAGGACTGAATTCCTATCCTGTATTTTATTAAGCCTTTGGCTTCCCTGGGTTAATAACTGTCTTGTTATTGGCTTATCTGGTTTTCTTGGTCATGTGCTGAATCGTCCTCAGACTTCCAGGTCGAGCTGTGGGTTTCATCTCGGTGAACACACGGTGCATCTTCCTCCTCACACAGTGTCCTCCCGGACCTTTTCTCCCTTGGGGTCTGCTGCGCTCCGGTCATCCCAGGAGTGGCCTTCACGATCTTTGAAATGACTACTGAATATTTTTTAAATGATAAATCTTTGCATAAAACATGAACAGATTTTTAATTGTACATTTTCTATAACTTTTGTATGATAATTACTGTTACTGTTTACAGTTTCTTTTGGGGTCAATTTCACTTATTTTATTAGTAAATCATTCATTTCTTCTAGCTTATCAAATTGTTATAGGATTTCACGTGACATATTCTTATACTTATTTTCAAATCTTTTATTTTATTTATTTTTGGCTTCTTACTCCTCATTCTTAAAGTTTGTGTTTCCTTTTTCTCCTTCTTCTTTTTCTATTTGAGCCAACAGAAAGCAGTTTATTTAATTGCTGTTTACCAGTTTTCAGTTATCCTTTTTTATTTTTATTTTTTATGTTTTGGCACCAGGGCTCAAACCCACAACCTTGCTCTTGCCAAGGAGGTGCTTGTGCTGCTGAGCTAAATCCCCAGCTCTTAGTTATTCTAATTTTGTGTTTTCCAACATACTTACTTCTACTTTCTCTTGACCAGTTCCTTCTGCTTACTTTCTTTGGTTTATTTTGTTTTCTATACTGCTTTGCAATGTGGGCTACAATAACAGAATACCACAGAGTGGCTGGCTTACCCAACGACCGGCTTTTTGTCTGCTAGAGGACTGGACTCCAAGATCAAGGCATGGCAGGTTCCTTTCCTCAGGGGCCACTCCTTGACTTGCAGACCCCAGGTTCCTGCAGAGTCCTCAGGGCTCCCCTTTGGCTCCCGTGTTGTCCACGCCCCAGGATCTCCTCAGAAGGACCCTTGTAATTGTGTTGGGTTGGGGCCCACACATAGG